GAAATTGCTAGATTGTTGTAGGTGTTATGACAAAGATCAAAAAAGAATTCTATTAAATTTGTTCACTACTGCAGGTTGTCAGATTGAATAATTTAATTGGTTAATTACCAGGAAGGCTAGAAAAGCTTGATAGAAGGGGGAGAAAAAATTTGTTTAGGTATATAAATTTTTAAATAATTGTAGAATTTAGAGATTTTGTTGATGGTGAAAAAATTTCTATATTGAATTCTATAAGCACAAATAGAAATATATATATATATATATATATATTTGTTGGGTTCCAAAATAATCTAAGAGAGGATGAATTAGGTTGATTAAGAAACAAGCAATGATGGCCAAATTTCACCCCAATTGTTCAACCAAAATATCTTGAGTAAACAAGCACTCAAACAAACACAATAACAAGATATATATATATATATATGTGCAAATTAACCCACACAAAAATTTAACAAAAAAGTGAACATAAAGTAAAATGATTGCAAACTGATTAGTCATTATTTTACCTATTTTTAGTTAGGTTTTAGGTTATGTTTTTGGTGTGTTTTAAGTTCAAATGAAAATTTTGAATTCCTTTATAAGTTAATTTTCATACAAGTAGTGTTTCTTAACCAAAACAGGCAAATATGCAAGTTTATGTTGTTTTTGTAGGTTTTGGTCTCATATGAATTGATTGAGGACTAAAGGAATTTCACAACTTTGACACATCGTCGTATTTTGGTCATATCTTGAGCTACAAGTAGCATATTGATGTAATTCTTTAACCATTTTGAAGCTACGACATAGCTCTACAATTTTTATGATGACATTGAAATTCAGTTCATTGAGCTTCCTAGTTAAAAAGTCGAAATACCTTGGGAAAAATTTTTTTGTCAAAAGCTGAAACAAAGCATTTACCAGTTAGGGGTATTTTGGTCATTTCTCAGCGACACAAATCCAAATGAGATTATTATTAATCCATTGGAAAGCTAACTCAAAGACCTACAACTTTTAGGTTTTGTGTAACAGTTAATTTAGCCTCCATCATCAAGAAAGTCACAGTTGAAATTGGACAAAAAATAGAGCAAAGTTGAGATTGAAGCTGAAAGTGCAAAATTGAGTGCTATGAAGATCCATGAGCCGATCTGCAAGGTATAGGGTCGCGGATCCCTGATTCACAGCCACAACTTGCTCTACAACTTCCATTTTGTTCACACAACCTTTTTGACCAATTTCTCCTAAGAAAAAAGGCTGGAACTAGCTAGAATTGAGTTGGAGAAGTAGAAAACAACTTTGTGTCTATATTATGAGAAAATCTTCTCTTCCAAAACATCTATAAATACCCCTTGAATCTCATTCATTTGAGAAGAATGTTAGCAAGAGATAGTACCTTGTAGAGTAGAGTAGAAGTAGAGCTAAAAGTAGTTTAGCTCTAGTTTCATATTGAGAGTTTCTTTCTTTGTTTAAAGAGCTTTGAGAGTGAGGTGCAAACACTCTTGTATCAAACTTATTTGAGAGATCAACTTGTGAAGGAATTCAAGGATTCAAGCTTCAAAATGTTGAAAAAGAATTCTTCTTCTTAAACTTTGTCTCTTGTTCTTATTTGTCATGCTTTGTTACAAGTTTGTTTCATACTTAGATGTTCTTAATATGATGTCTAGTTAAGTTTTTTCATATCCTTGGGTGAAGATAAACTTGTTATAGTCTTGATTTTGAAGTAGTTAAGGATCGATTATGCTTTTTCATGATTTGTTAGTTTGAGAACTTGTGCTTATGCTTTATAGTTGTTTGGCCATCAATTACAAATGATTTGATAAAAAGTTGCCTTCTAATAGATCTAAGCTCTTAAACATTAGCCTTATTCTCATGAAAGTAGTGAATAATAATTGGTTGGATTCATATAATAACTTCATTGAACTTATTTAACTTGTTTCTTACCCTTTCTCTATGAACATAGGTAAGGGATGATTGAAGGAGATAAAATAATTGGTTTCTAGAGAAATTAGCCAAGGCGGTTTCTCTTAAATATCCATTGGTGAAAGCAAGGACATGCAATTGGAAGTTATTCCTTGACAATCCATGGAAGCGTAAGTATAATCACCTTAACTAACTTCTAATCTTGATATTACAAGGGATTCTAATCCCTAGGATCCTCTCACGGATCTAGGCAAATTCAAGTGGAAAAAGTTGTGAAAAAAAAACTCTCTCTCTCAGGTTTCCTTTTTTAGAAGTTTAGGGTTTCTGTGTCTTTTGGCCTAGGGTTCATGGCAGCCGAGGCTACCCCCCCACCTCTGGGTGGGGGTCTTTCTTCCTCCCCCACATTTAGGAAAAAGTCTTTCTCTGCACTGTTTGAGAACCAGCCACCGTCGGAGGTGGTGCAAGTCTAAGCGTCGCTATCTACACATCGAGAGGAGCTTGCGGTGGTTTTCAAAGCGGCGGACATAGCAACTATTGCATCTCCTTTTTGCTTAACGCTGGTTGGGAAATTCTCCAAAGGCCGTTCGTTGCTGCTAAGGTAAGTTCTTTTCCACTCTTTGACTCGAAGGACTCGATTTTTGTGGGTTTGTTAGATTCCAGGCATGCGCTGCTGAAGTTTAATAGTGAGGCAGATTTCCTTTGCGTTTGGTCTAGAAATTTGTGGTATGTGTATGGGTGCCCCATGAGGGTTTTCAAGTGGACTTTTAAGTTTCATGTTGATAGAGAGTCGTCCCTAGTTCCTGTCTGGTTCAGATTGCCCAAGTTGCCAATTCATTTATTTGCTAAACCTTGTTTATTTCATATTGCTTCCTGCTTGGGTAATCCGCTGTTTGTTGATACGGCAACTTCTTCGTTTTCTCGTTCGAATGTGGCCCGGGTATGTGTCGAGGTAGATCTATTGAAGTCATTTCCTTCGAGGGTTTGGGTGGATATGGGGGATGGTGATGGTTTCTGGCAGGCTCTAATACCTGAAAGCCTTCCCAAGTACTGCGGCCATTGTTATCGTCAAGGGCATGGCGAAGACCACTGCCATGTGAAACATCCAAAGCTGCGCTTGCCCAAGGTGCAGTCTAAGCGAACACTAGACTGGTTGCAGGAACGATGGATGAAGTGAGTCTGCAGTCATCTTCTCCACAGGGAAACAATCTGGGTTCAGAGGGTGGAGGGTGAGGGGAGATGACTGATGGGGCTGACGAACTGGAGGAATCTGGTGTTGCACAGACTTCGGTGGTGGGGCAGGGCGAGGTGTTGGGGGTACAGTAGGGTCTCAGGGATGTCCCAGCTATTGCACAAATAGATCTGGTGCACTCTGCTGCGCCGCCGTCAACTGCCGCTGTGGGTGACCTGTCGACCTCACCGACACTACTCCAACAGCCTGGGTTGTTTGTTGCTGCTTTAGTGGATGAGGTGATTGTTTCTGCCACAAATACTATCATTAACACGTTGGCTAACCAAGTGACTTAGGAACTTGAGGAGGTGCCCATGGAGGCGGACCTTGCAGCGGTGGACCATGCGTGTGGTAGTGGTGGTCCTGAGGCGACAAATCTGGTGGAACAGGTTCGGGTGGAGATGGAATGGTGGCTAATCTTAACCTTTCCCCTCACAAGGCCAACGTCATAACGTATTTTGCTTTGGAAGCCTTGTGGATGAGGCTAGATGGGTTGAGGAACTCGGAAGACTGGCATACGGTTGTGAGTCATCGCACTAGGAAGAAAGGTGTTTCACTCCCCCCTTAAATTTTGACGATCAAGACCATGATTAAGGCAATCTTCTGGAATGTTAGGGGAGTGGATAATGCTCTTACTATAGCTCGGTTGATGAAGTTAAAGCAGATGCATAAGGTCTCTTTGTTAGCATTGTGCGAGCCAAAGGCGGGGGCGCGAGCGTCTTGATTTTATTCGGCAAAGGCTAGGCTTTCCTCATGCAATCTCTAATGAGGACAGTAGGGTTTGGGTGTTGTATGATCATGACTATCGGTGTGACTTGTTGGCCGCTTCACATCAGTTCTTGGCATTGCAGGTTACACACTCTTTCTTTCGGTGTTCCTTTGTCGCGGTCTTTGTTCATGCGTCTTGTGCTCCTCACGACCGTGAGGTGCTTTAGCAATAGTTAGTAGGTGTGTGCCCACAACGGCAGCCGGCAATTTTTTATGGGATTTTAACGTCATTGCTGGCGCGAATGAGAAGAAAAAGGGTCGCCCATTTCACGCTAAGGAGTTAGAGTCGTTCCTGGGTTTCATTGAGGGTGCTGCGTTGACAGATTTGGGATTCTCTGGGTCTTAGTTTACTTGGTGTAACGTCGTGGGGATAGAGCCAGAATTTGGAAACGCTTGGATTGGGTCCTAATAAACTAGCAGTGGTTAAACTTAGGGGCGAACAAGTCAGTGACTCACTTGAATAGGGTAGCCTCGGATCACTCCCCTCTATTAGTTTCTTGTTCTATGGCTGCGGGGGGTGCGTGCGCCTAAAAGCTTTTGATTTTTGGATGTTTGGAGGTCGCATGCTGCGTTTCACAGTATGGTTAGTCAAGCATGAGAGGTGGAGGGTGAGGGGCGGCCCATTAAGGTTCTACTCACGAAGTTAAAGGTGATAAAGCAGGCATTGCACAGATGGAATAAGGAGGTATTTGGAAATATATTTAACCGTGTCAGGGAAAATGAGGAAAAAGTCATGTCACTGGAATGTTCCTTGGAGGAGGGGCAACATCAGCTTATCCAGGCATAGGGTGAGCTTAAGGCGTCTCTACTACGGGAGGCTACCTACTGGCGTCAAAAGGCTTGTCTTCGGTGGCTTAGGGAAAGAGATGCCAACTTCAAGTTTTTCCATGCGCCAGTGAAGCAGCAAAGGGCTTGCACGTTTATACATCGAATGAAGGGTAGCAATAGGGTTTGGACGAAAGAGTCTGACAGGATTGAGGAGATGGAAGTTGTATTCTTCGCTGACATTTTGTCGCAGTCTGGACAAGTACAGGTGGATCTCTCGCTGTTAGGAGTTATCCCTTCGGTTATTTCTGAGCAGGATAACTTGGAACCTCAATAGTTTCCCATGGAGGAGGAAGTCAAGACAGTGGTCTTCCAGATGGATGGTGATAGTAGTCCGAGTCTGGATGGTTTTAAGGGGTCGTTCTTCACTTCTTGTTGGGATATAGTGAAGGGGGATACCTATCGGGCTGTTTGTGATTTTTTTGCAAGAGCAAAGCTATCCTGGGGATACATATCTACGTGGTTGGCCCTGATACCTAAGATACCTGGGGCGTCTATCTCAGAATTTCGACCTATCAGATTGTGTAATTTTGTGAACAAGATCATATCTAAGCTATTGGCGAGGCGATTGAAAAACGTGTTGCCGAAGATAATATCGCCACAGCAGAGTGGCTTTGTAAAGGGGTGACAGATTTCGGATAATATATTGATGGCATTAGAGATGTGCTCAGCTCTAGGGAATAAGGTGCGAGGGTCCAATGTTACTTTTAAACTAGACATGGCCAAAGCTTATGATCGAGTATCCTGGAACTTTTTGATCCAGGTCATGCGAAGGTTTGGTTTTGGGAAACAATGGCTTGACATGGTTTGGAGATTCATTTCTTCATGTCATTTTCCAGTTTTGGTTAATGGGAAACCATGTGGTTTTTTCCGGTCTTCTCGGGGTTTACGCCAAGGGACTGTTTATCCCGGCTTTATTTATTATTGCGGTTGAGGTGTTATCTAGGAGCTTGAATGATTTGTTAGGTGACTCGAGACTTGTTCCTTTCTTTGTGACACGGGAGTGTCCGACTCTGACGCATCTTGCCTATGTTGATGACATTATCATCTTTTGCAATAGTGGTAAGCAGTCCCTTGGGTGTGTAATGAAGGTGCTGGAGGGTTACCAGGTGGTGTCAGGGCAACTGGTGAACGCTGCGAAAAGCTATTTTTTGGTAAACAAGAAAGTTTCTTTGGCCCGCCGGAGGGTGACCGGGTTCTCTTCTAAAAGTTTGCCAGTTACATACTTGGGTTGTCCGTTATTTGGGGGGAGACGAGTGAAAGCCTTATTCACTAATTTACTGAACAAAGTCTCTCAACAAATTACTTCTTGGCAAGGTCGGTGGTTATCAATGAGTGCTCGGGCTTTACTTATTAAGCATGTATTGTCGTCCATGCCGATTCATATTTTGGCAGTGTTGGAACCCCCAAGAGGGATAGTCTCTGAGCTAGAGCGAATGTTTGCAAGCTTCTTCTGGGGAGAGTTAGAATTTGGCGCTAAGCGGCACTGGGCAAAGTAGGAGAAATTATGCTTCCCTGTGGAGGAAGGGGGTAGGTTTCCGGTCTCTTCAGGCAATCGTTGTGGCATTCTCCTGTAATATGGTGGATGTTTAGACTGGCCAGTCTCTCTGGGTGCAATTTATGAGGGCCGGGTATTTTGGGTCCCTGCATCCGAATCAAGCTCCTTTTTCTGCTCAGTTGTTTGCTAGTTGCAAGCGTATGAGCATTGGTTGAAGTGGGACCTCTCTAGGGGTGATGTGGCTTTCTAGTGGGACAACTGGAGTGGTCTGGGGCCTTTGGCATGGAGGTATCTGGAATTGGCTTCAGATGCTACGATTTCTAAGTTTTTGCGTGAGGGCCAATGGGACTACTTGTATTTAGCAGTATTGCCCTCGGGGATTGGAGAGGCGGTTCAGGGATCCTTCTTTTGCTTTGGTACAGACCCGGATAACTTAGTTTGGCTATTGGATCCCTCGGGGGTTTTTTCCATGAGGTTTACATATCAGCTTGTTCGTCCGGCTAGGGCTCAATCTTGGGCATTTACCTATATTTGGTAGTCTTCCATCCCACGGAAATTGTCCTTCTTCATGTGACGCTTATTGAATGTCCAACTGTTGGTGGATGATGTGCTCGAAAAATTTCAGATTCATGGTCCCTCTAAATGTCACTACTGTGTGCCGGCTCAGCTAGAAACGCTGCAACATGTGTTCTGTACTGGTCAATTGGCCAATGGGACATGGGCGTTCTTTGAGCATTCCTTAGGGTTTTCTTCACCGGATCTCACGATTAGGTCTGGGTGTTATAAATGGTGGTTACTCCCCATGAAAGGAAAGGCGATGCGCTGGATATCACGGATTCTTCTACTCCTGATACTATGGTTTCTATGGCAGGCTAGAAATATGTCCAGGTTTGAGGGTCACAAGCTCTCCGGCTCTCAAGTTCGGGTCCTCATCCTTAATGAATTGCGAATGTTAATTCAAGTACACTTTCCGGGCATTGTGGATTAGCCTTGTCAATGGGAGGGACTTCTGGAGTTGTTGACTTCGACTCAAAGGGTTTTAACAGCTACGGTGGTGAGGTGGGTCTTCCCTGCTGGGGGTTATTTTAAGCTAAACACTGATGGCTATTCTACGGTTTATGGCAGTGGGGGCGGCAGGGTGATTAGGGACTCTTGTGGGAGGCTTATTGTCGCTTTTACAGACTCCTTTGGCTATCTGGATTCCTTCAGGCTGAGGCACAAGCCCTCCTTTTAGGGCTCCAATTGGGGCGCCGTTTAGGGATTTCTTATCTAATCATTGAATCTGACTGCCTAGTCTTGATTAATTGTTTAAGGGGGGGATGGGGGGTTCCAGCTGCAATTTGGCCAGTTGTTCGAGCTATTCGTTTGGTTACTTTAGGTTGTCACCAGTTCAGTCATTGCTATCGGGAGGGGAACACGGTGGCGGATTCTCTAGTGGCGTATGGCGCCGCTTGTGGCTCTCGCTCGCTGTTCACTGCGGCTTCTCAGTTGCCATCTTTGGATATCCAAAATTTTTGTAATTTCCGGTTTTCTTTTGGGAGGTAAGGCTTAGGCCTCCCTCAAGGCTTTGTACTCTAGTTTTGATTAATAAAACGGGTTTTTCCAAAAAAAAAAAAAATCCTCTCACCTAATCTTTGAGCAATTCTAATCTAACTTGTCTTTACTTTTATTTTTATTTTTTTGCAACTTACATCCTGTATGGTTGGTTTTACCACCTAATGTCTAGTTTTACATTATTTGCTTGTAACTTCTATGGCTGGTTGTACCACCTAAACTAATTTCTAACTCTTGTGGCCGGTTGTACCACCTAAGCTAACTGTTATGGTCGGTTTTACCACCTAATTAACTTTCTTTACTTTTACTTCCTGAAACTTTGATTATCTAGATAATAAAGCAAGTGATTAAACTCAAGTGATTGCCAAACTCTAAGTCCTTGTGGGATCGACACCTATTATCCCCATAATCAATAAACGAACTATACACTTGTGGAAATAGGGTAATAAAGTTTTAAAATTTGTAGTGTATTTAAAATACCCTATCACAAACCAATCAAATTCCCAATCCTTTTCCAAATTTGGTGTTGAATCAAACAAAAAGGTTTTGCAATTGATGGTGACACTAACCAACTTGTACAAGTGAAGGTTCACTCCTTCCTCACCCTTAGAGCCTTTTAGTTGAGCCAAATAGTTTTACAACTCGCCTAGTTAAGCCTAAATAGCTACAATTAAAAGTTTACCAACCAATTAGGAACTATTTTACAAGTGCCTTCACAAAGATTTTACTTCTCCCCTTTGAGAAATAGCACAAACCCAACTTCCCTCACACCTATACAATAATCAAAGTATATCTCTACCCAAATATCACTCTTGAAAAATTGCATTTCGTGTAGGCAAAAGTCACTCTTCTTCTCATGCATGGGGGTCTTTATAGATGTGAAACTTTACCCCAAAAGATTCTCCAATGGTCAAAAAACTAGTTGTTAGAAAACTAGCCATTGAGATGTTGAACGTCTGACAAGAACCATTTGTGTCCCGATCCATGTGTCCAATAGATGATCGGATATTCGATCCAAATTTGCTACGTCCGACAAATGCATCCAAAAGGATATCAGAATGCTGCAGTTTTTGCTCTCAATTTTTTGAATGGCCAACAAATGAGATGTGTCCGATTCTTGCATTTGACAGACACGAACATCTTCTATTTCTTATTGACTTTCATTCCTTCTAATTCCAATGAATTAAGAACATGTTCTAAATCATTTCTCATGTAAAAACTTTAGTTCAAATCATTATTTTGTTTCGTTATCACCAAATCAAAGGATTGATCAACCTAAATATTTAATCTACCCTTTTTTTATGATGACAAACAAGGTGATGATTTCTTTGATAATATAGAATCAAATAAGCTCCCCTTAAGTACAAGCCAACTTTCAAAGAAAATATCATTCAATCTACTATGCCTTTTGGCATCATCAAAAATTAATCATGTAAGCATGAAGAGAATTTATAAGTAAAACTCCCCCATAATTAAAGTAACATCAAATTTCATCATCATTCTCATCAAATATCTCCCTTTCAAATAACTATATAAATCAAGTAAGCACAAGGAGATAAATTGCATTCAAGAAATTACTTCTTTCAATAGCATATTAACAAATACACAAAGGGAATCGTGTAAAGGATTATATTCAAAGTAATTTTTACTCATCGTTACTATAGTGCCTTCTATTTTAAAAATATAAATAGGTACCAAGATGTATGTAAAAGTATCATCAAAAGAAGAATTGATCAAAACAAAAGTTCAAGCATATATGATGCAACTACCTCATTTATTGTAAGGATAAGAACATTCCATCTATCTAATCATGAATGAAGATACAAAGGACACTAAATGTGTACCTAATTTATTCTCTTTTGTGATGTCGATATGAATAGATATAGCATTTAAGTTTAAAGATGACAAATAACATTACAATAATTTCATTTGCACAAAATAATATGCTAGGTTTAACTAAATTAGAATAGAATGTTCTCGCACTTAGATTCAGAGATACATTATACGTAGTGGTTAAACTATGTCAAACTTAGGTAACTAGCACAATACACAAGGCTCATAACAAGATTGCATAGAAGATTTTCTCCCCCTTTCTTTTGCAAGTCAAGAACATTTTTAAAAAAAATTGGGGGTTACTATAATAAAAACATTTGTATGTCCAAATTCATCATTTTTAAAATATATATACATATAGGACATATATGAGTAGAACTTTAAAGTAATTAGGCATTCCAAATCCTTGTGTTCCATCTTCACAAGAGTGCAAATTGGGATAATAACAATCAAGCATTCAAATATCACCCATTTTCGTAATACACAATTTGAGGTAAGAAGATTAAGTTTAACAAGCATACTTCAATAGTATTTCATCTACTTATATTGGTCGTCATTCTCATTGTCTAAGGTAAATGCATGCTTTACCTTTTCCTTTTGCACTTTTTCATGCATTCAAGTTTCTTGTTCTATTGACTCTAAGTAACATTTTGTATCATCTTTTAATCTTGACTTGGATTAATTTTTTCTTAGATACCTATACAAGAGGACTCACTTTTGGTACCCATTTATTCTTGGGTCCATAAGGGTTAATTGTATGTTTCAATGCCCAAATGGCCTTCATTCCTAATTTCACATTTTTTTTTTACATAGCAATCATTCTTCATATGACCATATTGACAACAATAATTGCACATCATATCATGATTTCTAACATAAGAAGATTTTACAAGATAAAATCATTCTTTTTAAAAAGAGTAAGATGATTGTTAACACTCGAGCTCCTTACAGTTTTCTTTTTTAAAATATTTTGTTTCTCATTTTGAAGGAAAATATTTAGGTTATTTATTCTTTGACTCAACAAAGTTTGTTCTTCCTTATTTTTTTTTTAAAATCTTATTTTTTTTCATCCAACTTCCTTTTCAAATCATCCATTTTGAAAATAGAGTCAACTGCATTTTTTTTCAAATCATCATTTTCTTTAATCAATCTCTTATTTTCTCCATTCAACGGAGCATTTATTTTGATTTTCAATTCCTTATTCTTAGCATTAGATTCTCTCAACCTATCGTACAATTTAATCATAATTGCCTCAATATGTGACGGCCCCACCTCCCCCTAAGGCGAACCAGAGGGTTCGGCGGGCCGCCTGCCCGGCTCTCGCCGGGACTCAGTCGTTCACTAAAGTCCTCAAATGAATTACAGGAATAAACCTCAAATATACATCACATGGTCCACAAATATACATCCAACTCTCCAATAATTACATGTCACAAATGCAGCGCAAACTAATTCCCAACTATACATCAAATGATTCCAAATCCAAAACTGTACAAAATATAGGCCATCCAACCACGTGTATAAGCACCACAAGCCTTCCTTCGCCACGAGCCCTGTGGAAGGGATAAAATATTTTTGGGGTGAGCTAAAAGCTCAGCAAGTAACCAGAAAAAT